ATGTGGTTTTTTAATAAAATGGAGTACTACTCAGCCATAAAGAATGAAAAACTAGAGTCATTTATAGCTAAATGGATGCATATCGAGGCCATACTCTTAAGTGAAATAAATAGGACACACATATGTAAATACCGAATAGTTTCACTTGTGTGAGAAACTGATAGTGTAAACAAGGGTTAAAATGATTAAAATGAATAACTGATAATTTGAAATAGGAAAAAATGTCCGAAGATGAAGGAGTAAAGGGAGGGGAAGGAGAAAGGAAAAGAGGGAAAGGAAAAATTATGAGAAAAGAAAAAAAAAATGGAAATGAAATCTATGTAAATAAGGAAGGGCGGAGGGGGTGAAGGGTGCACAGGTAATGGGGAAAAAGAAAATAAGAACCAAGATATATCATGTACAGGTACAAACACCCAATGATAAATGTAAACGAACCGTATACCTAAAATGTACCAATAAAAGAACTAAAACAAAACAAACCAAAAAATACCAGAAAATATAGTTAATACCAGGAAGACATCTATCCTACCCATTTCCAGCCCTAATAATATGAGATGCATCAAATAAAACAAGTGGCACCTAAGAAAGTTGTTCTGTGCTGTTTTATATGTTAACCTGACACTTTATTCTATCATCTCACAGTTGTCCTTGTTGAACTGAAAATTCCAAGGTCCTCCCTCTTTTCTTTCCTTCTCACATAGACACACACTTCCAAAATAACAACAATGGTAAGTCTCCTTGGGAAAGAAAAATTTTATGATCATCAGTTGAATTTTAATCATGAGGTCAAAAAATAAATACTACTTTTCACTGACCCTTGAGTCATATCTGAAGTCACTGCATATAAAACAACTTTTCAAAACTGTATTTCATACCCTAACTCAAGTGCACAAGAAAAGACTTGCAGAATAACCAACAACATAAAAGAGTATTTCAAAATCTTTATTAGTTATCTAAAAAGAAAGAATGTGAATTGAAGAGAGTTATAAAGGACTGAATTTCACACAACAAAAACTCAATAATGCATTTTATCAGGATTTTTATTCTAAAAATTTAATATCAGTGTTTTGCATTATAACACTGTCCTTGTATATTATTTTAATGTCAATAAATTTCAATGCAATCTTAAAAAAAAGAGAGGAAGTACATCACAAATATTGCTATGTGCAAGATGCTAAATGATATCTCATTTGGTATATGCACATAAATGAGACAAACTAATCTTAAGGAGCTTGTATAACCACAGATATACAGGACTAACCTAATACAAAATGAAATGTAATTAAGTACTTAAAATACAGCAATTTGAATTACTATGACGTACAAGCCAGCTGCTCCAACTTTCTTGTTCTAAATGATAAAACTGAAACTCCTAGAAATCAAAAAACAAGATAACGCATAGCTAGGAGAAGAGATCACAGAACTATTTCTAACTCAAACTTTCCCTCATCACTTTTAATAACAAATAAAGGATGACACTGATATAATTTCTCCCTTTCTCTAATACATAAAATTTTGACCTGTCACTAAGATCATTTTTTAAACATATACTCAAAATCTACAGATGTATAATTTCATAATGTTTAATATCATGAATAATATTTATCAAAATTCATTCAGTGCCTACTATATGCCAGGCCACTGCACAGGATGTTTTACAACCATTTCGTTTAAACTTCACAACAACTCTATGAGGTAGGTATTATCATGCCCATTCTTCAGATAAGGAAACTAATGGTTAAGTGATTAGTACAATTTTACACAATCAGAAATGGTAAATCTGCCTTGAGTACAAAGTGCATTCCATTTTGTTGTTGCTATTGTTGTGTTACTGTTTTGTTTTATTTACAGCACTTAAGATTGAACCCAAGACCTCTGCCCTGAGCTATATCCCCAGACCCTTTATTTTTTATTTGAGACAGCGTCTCATTAAGTTACTACGTTGTACAGGCTCAAACTTGCAATCTTCCTGCCTCAGCCTCCAAGAGTGCTGGGATTACAGGTGTACCTGTTCCTGTAACAAGTCCACTATACCACCTACTAGGGAAAAAAGGTATACATTTTAAAATTAATACTTGGAACTCAATGATAGACCTATGATCTATACTGGAAAATAATAATTTTCTAAATTGTACTTACATGTTTAAATTATAGCATATGATACTATTCTAACAAGAAAAGCCAAAGTTAGGTAATTTTCTGATTTTGTATTTATGTTTAGAAACTTGACAAAAGAAAGCCAAAATTAAGGAAAAACAGATCACTGTAGCAAATGTTAGAGCATAAAGCAAAGAACAATAAGCCAAATCATACAAATATTCTTAAATTTAATTATGCAAAGGTAATTTTTACACTAAAGTCAACATGATTCTTATTACAGGAAAAAGGCATGTCACAAATAACTAAATGATTGTTATCTTAAAAAACACCTAAGATCCATGACATAAAAGCATAAAATCCAACTTGGATTTAAATGTCAAAACTGATCATTGGCACTGGTATAACAACAGACATACAGACAAATGGTATAGAATTAAAAGACCAGAATGTATACTCTTACATTTAAGAGTACATTAGTTAGCCCAGGCTGCAATAACAAAATACATAGGCTGGGTGGCTTAAGTAACAGAAATTTATTTCTCACAGTTTCAGCGGCTAGAAGTCCAAGATCAGGTCTAGCATTGGCTGGGTTCTGGTGAGGGCCTTTTCTTGGCTTCCAGACATAGCTATTTCACTTTGTCTTCATATGGTGTGGGAAAGGAGACGATATAAGCTCTCCAGTATCTCTTTTTACAAAGGCACTAATCTTTATGAACAGTCTAGCCTTATGAACTCACCTAAACCTTATTACTTCCCAAAGGCCCCATCTCCAACTTCCATCACAGTGGGGCTTAGGATTTCGGCATATAATTCTGGAGGGAGATAGTTCAGTCCATAGCAATGCACAGCTGGTTTCCAACAAAGATGTCCAGAAAATCCAGTGGGGGAAAGAACAGATTCTTCCAAAAAGTGGTGCTAGGATAACTCTGGGTAGCCACATACCAAAGAATAAAGTTGCATCTCTTATTACACCAGACACAAAAAGTAACTCAATCACAAGCGCAAGGTCCCGAGTTCGATCCCCAGTACCCAAAAAAAAAGTAACTCAAAATAGATCATAGACCTAAATGTAAGAGCCAAAAGTATAAAATCATAAATTCTTAGGAGAAAATATAGGAATCAATCTTTGTGACCCTGGATTAGGTAACAGTTTCTTACCTGTAACATAAAAAACACAAATAACCAATGAATGAACAAAACGTGGTATGGCCATATAATTGAATCTTATTCAAAAATGAAAAGACATAAAGTAGAAAACAGGGGTTAATTTAAATTAGCTTCTCCCATTATTTAGCTGACAACAGTTTTCCAAGTTTACCAACCACCTGAATCCCTCATGTTACTAAAACGTTTAACTGATTATCTGCTTTCAAAAATTTTGACTGCACACAAGCTGCTATGGACTGAAAATTTGTGTACCCAATTCATGGGGAAATGATCTTCAAAGGAGTGGTACTGAAAGTGGGACATTTTAAAGATGATTAGGTAATGAAGGCTCCCTCCCTCATGAACAGGATTAGTGTCCTCAAAATGGTGACCTGAGGAAGTTTGTGTCATGTAAGGATACATAGAAGGTGCCATCTATGAGGAATCAGTCCTATTTGGAATCAACCAGACCAAATATTTTGGTGTCTTTCTCCTGAACTTCCTAGCCTCTAGAATTGGTGGTGACAAATATCTGTTGTTTATGTTACTCAATCTAAGGTATTTTATGGCAGAAGCCCAAATGAACATGAGCCATGAGAATAAAATCAATTATGAGCTCATATTTTTTAAATATACATAATTTATTTAAAGCTTTGAATACCAATAATACAGCAGTCAGTATGTAGCATGTTGTGAATAGAGGGACCTCCCTAGCCCCCACCAAGAGGACACCTGGGAACATCTGATATTTTGGTTGTGATAACAAAACATCCTAAAATGTACAGCACTGCCACAACAAAATTATCTGACCCAAAATGTCAATATTGCCACTATTTATTTATTTATTTAGGCTTTTTGAGACAGGATCTTGCTTTGTAGTACAGGCTGAATTTGAACTCAAGATGTAACCCGGGTTGGCCTTGAACTTGTGGCCCATCTGATCCTCTCGCCTCAGCCTCTCAACCACTGGGATTATAGGCATGTGCCACTGTTTAGAAATCCTGATATAGGATAACTCATTCAAATTACCAGAGAGTACACCATTCATTTTTCCTTTTTCAGGATCAGTTTTTTTCTTTTTAGTGAATGGGTACTGAACTCAGGGCCTCTTTCATGCTGAGCATGTATTCTACTAATGAGCTACAACTCCAGCCCAGAATTAGGCATTTTTTCTTTTTGAGGCACTAGAGATTGAACCAAGACCACTGAGCTCCATCCTCAGCCTTTTTTTGGTTAAGACAGAATCTCCTTAAGTTGCCTAGCCTGGCCTCAAGGTTGTGATTCTCTTGCTTCAGCCTCCCAAGTAGTGGTATTACAGGTGTGCATCACAGGTGTCTCAGGATCAGTCTTAAGTGTGTAATTAGCCTATACCAATACTAAGCCTTTAAATTAGTACTTAGATTCTACTAATGCTAATTATTAAGGTAACTTAAAATTTAAATCAATGGGTTTCTCTTAGGTTACAAAATAGATATGAAAATAAATTACATAAAAACATACATACACATACGTTTAAAAATAAGCAATTATATATTAGATTTAAATATCAGAGAAAAAAGATAAAGCACTTACTGTAAAAATGTTCTAAATTCTGAAGCATCAACATTCTTCACAGGAATAGGCTCATGATTTATTAAATTATTTGATGTCTGTCTAATAACATGAAAATAGAAGACAGGAACCCTCGCTAAAAGGACTGCTTTGTGTACTCTGAATAAAGTACCATCTATAGAGAAAGTAACATCTGTATGGATTTCTTCCCTTAAAAGTCTGTAAGGGACAAAAAGAAATCATAGTTTAATGAGTGATGTTAAGAAAAATATAGTTATTTTTATATAGTAAAACAAAGGTAATTTTCCTAAAAGAGTAAGATCATTTCTCAAAATGTATATTTTATTATTAATTCCAATAGTAAAATTTATTTTCTGCTATTTATGCTGATTTTCTATTAAAATCCACCTTCTTTAGATTTATTTTGGAATATAGAACACAAAGCAAACATGATTGCTAACTATTAAAAAGAATTAATTTTTTAAAAATCTTACTAAAATTGAAGTAAAAAATAAAGTCAGTAACATCGACAAACCACATTAACAATAGACAATTCAGGTTAGAAACTGGTACACTTTGTTCGGACTATTAATTACCAAGTCTGAAATGCAAGCTTGAATGTCAAGAATGTGACATTTAAACGCTTTTCCATTCTCCCATATAGAATTAATCATGCTCTAATCTATTATTAAAATGATGGACTCAGGAGATAAACTCATTTAAATCCTTTTACTAGTATGCAGTAGTTACAGTAAAGCCTATGATTTCATGTGCACTTAAATGATGAAAGAATAAAAATCAGCATTACAATAGAAACCTTCATAATATAATCTTTCATCTATTTGCAGTAACTATTTTTACTCTCTAAATACTAAATAACACTTTGTATCAGTGTAGCAATTTCATCATCAAGGTATGTATTCTCAGAGGACTTCTGTATTGCAGGATATAATTGGCAATCACACCAGTATACTATAGGAGGTGCAAGTAATGAGTAAAGATATCCATTAGTGAAATCCTGGAAAGTTGCCAAAGACACTTACACTTCCCCAAGACCAAGTAAATGGCGTTCTCTAATCCCATTACATCCAGTACATATCTCTGTTATAGCACTTCTGTCATTGCATCATTATTATTTTTATGTGCATTTCTCCCTATTAGACAACACATTGCCCAAGAGCAGAAACTGTGTATATTCAACATACACCAAGAGTTCAGTATCTGCTTCTTGAATGACCGTACCCTAAACAAAAAAATGCTTCCGAACACAAATACTTTCAAAATCTCAAAATTTTAACTGAAAATTCAAATTGAGCCAGGCATGATGGTACATGTCTGTAATCCCAGCACTCTGAGAGGGTGAAACTTGACTGCAAGTTCAAGTGCACTGTAGGCAACTGAATGACTTATCAAGGCGACATCTCAAAATTGGGGCAACTGGGGAGGGGGGTACCTGCCTGACATACACAATGCCCTGGGATCCATCCCTAGAACCACCAAAAAACAAAACAAAAAAATTACCTGTCAGTTGTGTAGAGTTTTGAGGAAAATGAGAATGGAATTAAAATATATTAGGAAATAAAACTAGCAAGAGTTGGTGATGAGACATAGGTGAAGGGAAGGGAATTAACTTTGATTTTGATAACTGGGAACTGGGATTTGTATCTGCTAATTCAACTGCCTTTTTCAACTCCACATAGTTCTAAGTAGAGAAGGTAGACTGTTTAGGTTTATATTCTGGCTCATATTCAGACCATGTGACCTTGGGCAAATAATTTTAATTACTTTGGAGCCAGACTGCTGTGGTTCTTATTCTGATTCCATCATTTATTGTCTAATGTTCACCCAATGCTTCTCTAATTTCAACTGCTAAGTGAGAATAATGTGATTGAGGTTCATAGGATTTAAGGGAGAAATAAGTAAAATATTACATGTTAGCACAATAACTAGTAAATAGGATAGTAGTACATACTAGCTTTTTAAAAAAACTGCCTGGTCCTCTGCCAATGAGGACTTATACAATTATTGTCATATCACAAGCAACCTTCTAGTTAGTTCTATGTCAGATTTGGCTTTTTAACTGCTGAAGCTGTTTCCTGTTTTTCTCACTTTTCCACATTATCTCATTATCTCAGGTAACTTGTTTTTCAAAAAAATTGAGTTCTTGCAAATCTTTGTCCCTATGTAAAAGCCACTCTTGGGCTGGGGTATTGCTCAGTTCAAAGAGCACTTGACTAGCATGTGTGAGACCCTGGATTCAATGGGGGGGGGGATTAAGATTTTTCGTGTTAAAAAATCCTGTTACACCTATTTTTCCTGGCTTATAATAGCAAACTGGGAGTTTAGAGCCCTATTCTCAGTTGCTACTAGTAGGATGATAAATTGTTCATCAGCTATATTTTCAAACACAAGTTACCTTCCTTAAATTCACTGATGCTTTAAGATTCCCAAAACAGAAAAATAAAGCCACTGGGGGTGGGGGGAAGCATCTTATCCTTAGAAATTCAGCCTAGAGACAGAACAACTTCAGTCTCATTTTTTTCCACCTTTTACATCAGTCCCTAGCTGGTGGAAGCAGCAGCATTCCCAGTAGATAAGCCTAAATTAAAGGGAAATTGCTTTATTTTGATCAAATTCCATTTATAGCTTATGGGAGCCTTACATGTGGATTTCCGGCAAAAATCACTTTTCAAATGTGGAACGCTGCAAAACTGTTATTATTAATGTTTACTGTAGTCCAGGTGTCCTCCAAGTGTGTTCCTGGCCAACAGCATCTGCATCTGGTCACCTGGGACGTTGTTTTGGTAGAAATACAAATCTTGGGCCCCATCTCAAAACAAGTAGTGTAAGTCAGAAGTATGGGCTGGGACCCAATAAACTGGTGTTTTAACAAACCCCGAAGGTGGTGATTCTGATGTACACTAAAGATCATTAATTTGGTTTGACTCCATTTGGTTGGTGCTTGCAGAAGCTGGGAGTTGCTGGCAGCTATGATTTGGAATTGATGTGGAGAGAAGAAACCAAGTTGCAATCAGCAAGTATTTCTCTATGGCCATTTCGGCCATTTCTGGTAAACTGTTTAAAGAGAGCTCCAAGGAGCCTGTAATTTGTGTCCTCTGTCCTCCAATGTTCGGTTTCCTAATTTTATTTTTCTTAAAATTAGAAAATAAAACGTGTGCGTTTCAGGATCTGGATCTACCCTGACTTGAGCGATGTCTGTAACAGAGCCCGGCCGTGTTAGATTATTTTAACATCATCTGGTGCTGTACAATGACTGCGATTTTAATTCCTGTTTTCCCTTTGACTCTGGTACACGGTGTCCAAAATGCTCGAGACTGATTACTTTGAAGCTACTTTCGGAGGACAGAGGAGACTGGTGAAAATCCCGAAGTTGCTTGAAGGGAACAAGGTAGGGAGGGATCGGGAGAGAGCGGAGGAAGTCTCGGCTTCGCGATGGGGAGGGGAAGCGCTCCCGGAACTCAAGCAGCCAGAGTTCCAGCCTCCGCCTACCTGAGCAGATCCTGGCTGAGCTGCTCCGACGCCATCGCCTTCAGCCGGCGCCGCTCACAAGGCCCCTTCCTTTGCAACCCCTTACTGCTAACTCCAGGGGGCCGCAGAAGTACCAGGGGCGCCGCGCTGCCCTCCTCACGGCGGGCCATATCCCAGTAAAGTACCAAAGCGCAAGGCAGGCCCAGCACTTGGCCTCACTAGCCCGGCCCAGGAGGAAGAAAGGAGTGTTTCCCACCGAAGGCTGGGCTCATATCCAAATTTGCCCTCAGAGGGAAAAGGTTGACGCCCTTTCTCTGCACCCGGTCGCTTTAAGCACCGCGACAGGCCTCGGGGTAATCTCTAGGCCCCAGACAACGCGACACGTGACCCGGGAGGGTGTGCGCAGGCGCACTCGCTCTATTTACCTCGGCCTGCGGGCGCCCTGCCCTGTTATCCCGGGAGAGGGCAGGTGGGATGTTGACCCAAACCAATCCTAGCCGCTCTTGGCTTTCCGGTTGGTTAACCGCTAATTTTATAAACTTTCATTAAGGACTGACTTCAAATCAGTCCTTACATGCTGTGTCTTCCTAGCATGACTGCGATGTTTTTCCACGAAAGACTGCTTCACAAGGCTTCCAGCGGCAAGTCACACCCTCACTTACCTGCATCTCAGTCCTAAGGAATAAATACGTTGAGCAAGAAAATACGGAGGTGGAGGAAGAAACCCGTAAACTCTGCCAGCCTCAAAACAATCCCAAGTCCAATACAAAGAGTATTTACAGCGTCTACAAGATCCCATCTCCTTCTTACAAAAGGAGTGACCCATTTAACTGCTCTTGAGTTTGAGCTGAGAAAGATCAAATTATATTACAACGCTTTGGATGTAAAGCTCTAAAATTTATGTACAGAAAAATAGAAGGAACTAAAGGGGGTAGGAGACGAATAGGTTTTCCTTGAGCCTGGGAAGGGGGTGGAGGAACTACAAAATATTTAAATTATTTTGCCCTCAGTAAAGTAGCTAGAATGAATATCATTTCAGTCTTTCGGTTCAGTATTTGATAACTTCCTCCCCCAAAAAGAAAACTCAAGAATTCACTTTATTCATAAGCTCTGCACAAAACAATGATAACTATGTAGAAAATAAATGGACTTTATAACATAAAATTGGCCAGGAGGTCAGTTTTATTTATCCAAACGCCACCTTTCAAGTGCTTTATTTACAGACCTAACATTTGAATGCTTACTATGTGGGGGACACTGCTCTTCTTGCTCTGTATGTACTCACTCAATCCTCGCATGAGCCCTGTGCCCTGATTTACATATGAGGAAGCTGAAGCATAGAGAAAGTAGATAACTTGGCCAGGATCGCACAACCAGAAAGTGGCTGTCCACCAGAAAGTGTCTGACCCTTTTCACTGACACGTTTAGTACACTTACATAACACCGTGACCATGTAAACTGTTATAACTATGATGGAAAATAGTATGGAGGTTCTTCAAAAGTTTTAAAATAGTACTTACCCAAAGGCAATGAAGTCTCATTTCTCATAGAGCTAATTGTTCTCCTATGTTCATGGCAGCATTAGTCACAGTTGCCAAAATTTGGAAACAACCTAAGTGCCTGTGGATAAAGTCCAATACATAGCATGTAGAATGGTGGCTGAGGGTGGAGATGGGGAGAAGTGGGTCAAAGGGTACACAGTTACAGTTAAGTAAACTGGATAAATAGCTCTAATGTATGAAGACTGTAGTTAGTAATATTAGACTATGTGATAGAAATTTGCCAAGAGAGTAAATTTTAGGTGCTCCTACCCCATAAAAAAAAACTAAGATGAAGGGCCAGGGATTTGGCTCAATGGTTCCGCCTCCTCCCTCACAAGCACAAGATCTCGAGTTCGATCTCCAGTACTAAAAAAAAAAAAAGAGGAAACATGTATATGTGCCAACTCTCCATGATGAATGTATTCATTATGTAACACAAGCATATACCAATAAGAAATTAAAAGAAAGAAAACTGTGGAATGAATGACAGTGTTATGGTTTAGAACTGGGATATCTCCTAGAAACTTCATGTGTTTGGAAGGTGGTTGGATCATGGAGGCACTACACCCATCAGTGCATTAATCTGCTAATAAATCCATAGCTAAATGTGCTGTTGGGAGGTGTGGTCTGGTCAGAAGTGGCAGATCTCTGGGGGTGTGACCTGGAAGCCTACACTGTAGCTCCCTTGAGTTCTTCTGCGTGTCCTCTCTCTCTCTCTCTCTCTCTCTCTCTCTCTCTCTCTCTCTCTCTCTCTCTCTCTCCCCCCTCTCTCCTCTCTCTCCTCTCTCTCCTCTCCTTCCTCCCTCCCTCCCTCCCTCTCTCTCTGTCTGTCTCTGTCTCTCTGTCTCTCTCTGCTTCTGGATGCCATGAGGTGACTAGATTTCCTCTGTCAGACCCCTTCTATGCATTTCTGCCTTGGAACCAGCCAACCATGAACTATAACTGTGAGCCAAAATAAACCTCTCCTTGTCTAAGTTGTTGGTATCTGATATTGTCTCTGCAATGGGAAAGTGACTAAAATTGATGGGTATTTTAATTGGCCTGACTAAAGTGATCATCTCACTATGTATATCAAACATCATGTTGTACAGCTTAAATATCTACAGTAAACTAAACCAGGCATTCTAGCACCAGGATCTATCCCTTCAGAATCGCACTAGATTTTTACCTAAGCCTTTTGACCAACCAATGAAGTAAAAACTAGGTTATTTGCTTGTTTGGGAAGGGGTAACAAGATGATTTTTTGGTCATGTAAGTTAACTTTTAAAAACTACCTGAGACAACTATGTGAAATGATTAAAAAATAAGTATCTCTTTAAAAGACAAAACACAAAGAAGCTGGGAGTGTACCCCAGGGCTAGTGCTTAGCCATGTGTCCCCCCCCCCACCATCAAATTCCTAGCAGTATTGCTTCACTTTGTACCTTTAGAGGTTTTTTGTTTGTTTGTTTGTTTGTTTTTTTACTGAAAAAATTATTTCTATTTTAATCAGTTTACTCTGCAGTCATTTATCCCTTAATGTGAATTTGTTTCTTGAAAGACGTTTTGATCTGGAGGAAGAATCCTGAGGAACTAGCAATGCGAGTTCTGAAGGGAAACATAGCTAAACCCATACTTTTCTTTGGGGTTCTTCTTTTTTTTTTTCATTAAGTTTATTGGTACGTTTAGGTATACAATACAGTTACATTCATCACTGGGACCTTGTACCATTACATGAGTATCTTGGTTCTTTTATTTCCCTTTCCCCTGCCCTTCTTTCACCCCCTCCACCCTTCCCTATTTCCAAAGACTTTGTTTCCATTTTTTCCTTTTCTCATATTTTTTTCTTTTCCCTTCTTTCTTAACTGTGATTCTTATGTGTGAAAAATAAATTCAAGTAAAATTACCTTAGAAGGCAGAAAACTTCTTCCAAGGATTCCAAGTCTTGGAAGCAAGTTGATTTAAAAAAAAAATGTTTTTTTCTGGTACCAGAATCAAACTCAGGACCTTGAACTGCCAGGCTGGTGCAGTGCCACTGAGCTAAGCCCCCACCCTGATTTTTTTGATATATTATATTTCCTATTTCCAAGTTTTTTGACATATCTCAAAATGAAAACACCTTTTTCTTTTGGTACTGGGACTTGAACCCAGGGACTTCACATTAAACCACATCCCCAGCCCTTTTTATTTTTACTTTAAGATGGGTTTACTAAGTTGCCCAGGCAAATTTTCAGTCCTCTTGCCTTAGCTTCTCAAAGTGCTGGGATTACAAGTATGTACCATTATGCTCAGCTTGTTTTTCCTTTAAAAAAATCTTTTAATTAAAAATGTTTTGAATATACAAAGGAGTTGTGTCAGTCAGCTTTCCCATATCTGTGACATAATACCTGACACACAACTTAAAGGAGGAAAGTTTTAGTTTGGCTCCTGGTTTCAGGGGATTCAGTCCATGGTCAGCTGGCTCTAAGGCAGAAACATCCTGGAGAAATCAGTATTAACTCCCCTAGTCAGTGGTATTTGTTTAATATCCTAAAATGACAAAGACAGAAAGATAACCTGACATTATGAGCCTCCAGCTACAAAGTGGAATTAAGGTTGTAATGGAATTAAGCTTGCTAATCAAATAACCATAAAACCTTAATTCTCTCTACAACCTTAATTCCTTTTTGCCTCATAGCCTGACATATTCACAGGTTCTGGGCTCAGGACATGAACTTCTTTTTCTTGGAAAAGCCATTCTTCTGTGGTAATTCATTTTGTATCTCATTGTTGTGGACCCTAGGAAGTCCAACATCAAGATGCTAACAGATTTGATATCTGTTAAGGGCTCACCCTATTCTTCCAAGATGATACCTTGTTGCTACATCCTCATATATTAGAAGGGACAACAGCTCCTTCTTTACTTCTTTTATAAGGACACTAATCTCATTCATGAAGGCTCTACCCTCATGGTTTAATTATTTCCTAAAAGTCTTACCTCTTTAGCACTATCACATGGGGAATTAAGTTTCAGTATATGAATTTTGGGGGGACATTTTCAGATCATAGCAGAGTCTTTGTTTTTAAACTCCATTTCAAGCTGGAAGCTCTGCCACATGCCTGCAATCCCAGCTACTTGGGTGGCTGAGGCAGGAAGATCTCAAATGTGAGCCCAGCCTGGGTGTCTTAATGAGATCCTGTCTCAAAATTTAAAAATAAAAAGAGAGTTGGTCTTGGTGGCACATGTCTGTAATTTCAGTGCTCCAGAAGCTGAAGCAGAAGGATCCACATTCAAGCACAGCCTGGCAACTTAGTGACTTAGCAGAGTCTGTCTCACAATAAAAAATTTAAAAAGGAAGAATGTAGCTAAGAAAAAGGCCACAGGTGCAACCCCCAGGACTGACACAAAGGAACAAAAATCTATTATTCTGTATTGAAAATGCTTTGTTAGTAACATGAGCAGAATCACTCAATTGTATTATCCCGTGAGAGTTTCAAACCAGTATCAACATCACTACTAGTTAATATTATAGTATCTAAAATAATAATAATCTAAAATAATTAGATTATTTGTATTCAGTTTAAAGTATTTTGCATCTCTATTTGTATATAAAACAATTTATCCAAGAGGTACAGTTAAAATACTAGGTGCTAGGGTTAATTGAAATATTTTTCTTTATGTGATTATGTCACTGCTTTGATATGCAAAGTTCATTTTTATATAAATGGGTTTCAATTTAATTTTTAAAAATTCTTTTGACCACGTATCAAAAAGCATGCACATTTGGATAATAAAATACAAGAAATGAAACTAAAAATGTCTGGAAAGTAGTTTAATCTTGAAAAGAGGAGTCTGAATCTATGATCTGGGACATGGAGGGGGAAGTAGGA